TCGGAAGGCTGAGGCGGAAGGATCGCCAGAGCCCAGCAGGTCGAGGCTGCAGTGGCCGGGAGCAGCCACTGCACTCCAGTGTGGGCGACAGAGTGAGACTCCAATTCAAAAAAAAAAAAAAAAAGATTATGTTGTTGCTACTAGATTTAGCAACAGTTAGCATTAGTGACGGTACAAGAGCTGTATCAGTAGTAGTAGGGATTGAAAGTCTGACTGGAGTGAATTCAAGGGAGAATAAGAGCTGAAGCGGCATGGTGGTTCATGCCTATAATCCCAGCACTTTGGGAGGCCAAGGTGAGAGAACTGCCTAAGCCCACAGGTTCAAGACCAGCCTGGGCGACTTAGGGAGACCTCATCTCATCTCTACAATAAATCAAAAATTAGTCGGGCGTGGTGGTGCGTGCCTGTCGTTCCAGCTCCTTGGAAGGCTGAGGCAGAAAGATCACCTGAGCACAGCAGGTTGAGAATGTGATGACCGTAAGTGTGCCACTGCGCTCTAGCCTGGGTGACAGAATGAGACTCCAATTCAAAAATAAAAGCTGAAGAAATGGAGATGGTAAATCTATATTATTCTTTTGAATGATTTTTCTTAATTCTATCACCTATTTTTACTACCAGAGAGGCATGTGGGGTGTTCTTTGTTTTGTTTTGGGATGGGATATAATTGCACACTCAGGAATAATTCATGGAGAGAGAAAGATTGGTGATGCAGGAGAGATAGGAGATAATTCCTAGAGTGATGTTCTAGGTAAAATAGATATAATAGGATCTTGAGAATAACTGGAGGTTTTGGACTTAGAAGTACAAATAGCAACAGGGAAGAGGCAGAGTACGTGGGTAAGGACAGTAATTCTTTTGACCCACCACCACAGATGTTGTGATGAAATCCTGGAAATTCTCTTCTGATTGTTTCTATATTCTTAGTGAACAGGAAGTGAGAGTCAGTTGAAGTACAGAAAGTTTTAGGGAAAAGATGGTGTAAAATAGTAATTTAGAAAAGTGAAATAAGACAGACTAGAGATGCATGTAGAGGTCTAGAAAGCACTAAGGACCCACTTGAAATTAGTGATCATACTTTAAAAATTTTTTTTAAATTTTATTATAGATATGTGGAGTACAAGTCAGAATTAGTTATACAAGCAGGCTTTGTGCAGATGAAGTTTAGACCTCCAACTGGCCCTTGCTTCCCCTAGTTTAGGACTAGGTACCTTTTTTTTTTTTTTCTTTGTTTGTTTTGTGTTTTTGTTTGTTTTATTTTAAAGTTGTGGGGTACAAGTCAGGATTGGGTTCATAAGTGGTTTAGGTACAGGTGAAGTTTTGGGGCTCCCATTGGATCTCTCTTTGCCTGGATTAGGATCAGGCACCTTTATTAATGTTACGTGTCCCCCCATGCCATTCTCTGTAGTGTCCTGCTAGTGCCAACCTGTGATCACAGATTTTTTCAAAAGACTAGTTATTATGGTTGTTTCTCTCCAGCCATGTTCAGTGATACAAGTGTGAGTACCGTGTAATTAGGGAGTTGGAATGAATTAAATTTAGGATTTTGCCACATGAGTATAACAAAGGGAAAGAAGAAGTTGAAAGTGATTGTAATGATGTACTAAGGAATCTAACCTGGATGAAGAGGAAGTGAGGCTATCAAGATAGTAGAAAAAGTGGTAAGATAAAAATTTCCAGTGAGTTAAAGAATTACTGGAATTGGGGTACTAAAGAAAATAAGCTAGAAAGATTGGTGGTAGTAATTGGTGATGCTTTAAATTGAGATTATTAAGAGGGTGTAGTTATTGGTAGAGACAAAGTTTAGGGTATGACTTTGGGATTAAATGGCTACGTTATGGTGGAAAGATGAGACTACTGGGAAAGAAGCGTTCAAACAATTGATGTGCCAGGATTTTTTTTTTTTTTTGGAGTTGGAGTTGGAGTCTCACTCTATCGCCCAGGCTGGAGGGCAGTGGCACGCTCCCAGCCACTGCAGCCTCGACCTGCTGGGCTCAGGTGATGCTTCCACCCCAGCCTTCCAAGTAGCTGGAACTACAGGTGTGTGCCACCACGCCCAGCTAATTTTTTTTTTTAATTGTAGAGATGAGATTTCACCAAGTTGCCCAGGCTGGTCTCGAACCCTTGGGCTCAGGCAATCCTCTTACCTCAGCCTCCCAAAGTGCTGGGATTATGGCGTGAGCCACTGCACCCAGCTGAGATGTCAGGATATTGGAAGGGTCATCTCTGTGGCTACTGAAGTCTTCAATAATTATGATAGCAATAGTGATAGAGAGTAGTGTTAGTAAGCCTAGAGCTAAATATCTTCAAGGAATGAGGGAGACTGACCTAGAGGTCTATTATGACAAAACCAGGAGGGTAGCAGACAGTATCATTTGATGGCATGTACTTTAAAACTAGGGAATATTTTAGGAAGGAGGGAAGGACAATGAGGTAGAAATGTCAATGAAGAAAAGGCAGAAATCTTACTGCCTCTCCAGCCCCAAAGGTAAAAGGATGTGAGAGATATATTAATCATATATTAATAATAACTTGAGAAGACTGCAAAGAAAGCACTTAATTCACTCCAACTTTCTACATGTTACTCACGCTTCCATTACTGAACATGGCTGGAGAGAAACAACCATAATAACTAGTCTTTTTTTTTTGAGTTGGAGTCTCACTGCCACTGCAACCTCGACCTGCTGGGCTCAGGCAATCCTTCTGTCTCAGCCTTCCAAGTAGCTAGAACTAGGAGTATGCCACCTGTATGTTCAGCTGATTTTTTAATTTATTGTAGAAATGAGGTCTCATCAAGTTGCCCAGGTTGGTCTCAAACCTGTGGGCTCAGGCAATCCTCTCGCCTCTGCTTCTCAAAGTGCCGGGATAACAGGCATGAGCCACCGTGTCTGGTGATAACTAATCTTTTAAAAAATGTATGATTGGCCAGGCTTGGTGGCTCAGCCTGTAATCCCAGCACTTTGGGAGGCCGAGGCGAGTGGATTGCCTGAGCCCGCGGGATTGAGACCAGTCTGGGCAACTTGGTGAGACCTCGTTTCCACAATAAATAAAAAATTAGCCGGGTGTGGTAGTGCGCACCTGTAGTTCTGGCTACTTGGAAGACTGGGGTGGAAGGATCACTGCACTTCAGCCTGGGTGATGGAGTGAGACTCCAACTCAAAAAAAAAAAAAAAGCATGATCACTAATTTCAAGTGGGTCCTTAGTGCTTTCTAGTCATCTATACACATTTCTCTAATCTGAGTCATCTTTCACTCTTCTAAATTAGTATTTTATATCATATTTTCCCTAAAACTTTCTGTACTTCAACTGAGTCTCTTCATCTTCAAAGGAGAACCAATGACAACAAAAACCCAATATATTATGACAAGGGAGAAACTGCCAGACTGGAGGTATGTGTTTATATGCATTTGACCCTCTCTACGCCACTAAAAGCTAATACTAAAAGGATGGCTCCGAGAGTCAGCTCTTGTGGAGACTAGATGGGTGCCAGGAAAGGGTAAAGAAGTGGCAAAAATATAGCATTTTAGTCTCTTATTGCCTTAGTTGCCTTAAATACACTGACAACTGCCAGGCTCGATGGCTCAGCCTGTAATCCCGCGCCTTTGGGAGGCTGAGGTGAGTGGATTGCCTGAGCCCGCAGGTTCGAGACCTGCCTGGGTAGTGAGACCTCATCTCTACAATAAATCAAAAAATCAGCCGGGTGTGGTAGCGCATGCCTGTAATTCTGGCTACTCGGAAGGCTGAGGCGGAAGGATTGCCGGAGCCCAGCAGGTCGAGGCTGCGGTGGCTGGGAGCGGCCACTGCACTCCAGTCTGGGTGATAGAGTGAGACTCCAACTCAAAAAAAAAAAAAAACACTGATAACTAATTATGGTACAGTAGAAGAAGATCAAGCAAAAACAATAATTTAAATGATTTCTTCCTTGAGATAAAAAATACCCATCGAGTTATCATTTAAAATAAAAGGGACTAAGTATAAAATCAGTATCTGATAAAATCTCCTCTTTAGGCTCCCAATGGGCTAAAGAATAATAAATTGCCAATATCAAACAACCTGAGTTAGACAAACTAAAACTGATATGAATGCTGATGCCAAGTAATGTCTGTAGGCCAGTGGGCTCAAAGGGTAAAGGGCACAGTATCACTGCATTTGGTATGTCTTGAAATGGAGCAGGAATCCTAGCAGTAACTTGGGAGGATGACCCCACCCAACTACTTGCTGTATAAAAATTTGAAGAAAACAAAATAAGAAAAGATATGGTCAGGATACTTTCATTTTATTTATTTATTTATTTATTTTTGAGTTGGAGTCTCACTCTGTCACCCAGACTGGAGTGCAGTGGCCGCTCCTGGCCACCGCAGCCTCGACCTGCTGGGCTCTGGCGATCCTTCCGCCTCAGCCTTCCAAGTAGCCAGAATTACAGGCATGCGCTACCACGCCCGGCTGATATTTTGATTTATTGTAGAGATGAGGTCTTGCTGCCCAGGCGGGTCTCGAACCCGCGGGCTCAGGCAATCCACTCACCTCAGCCTCCCAAAGGCACAGGATTACAGGCTGAGCCACCGAGCCCGGCTCAGGATACTTTTAAAAATGGCTTTTTTATAGGCCTTCTGTTTCTCCCCTAAGGTAGGTCTTCTGAGCTAAAACCAACTCCAACTGAGGCCAAGATTCATCAGACATGAAGAACCTAAAGGATAGAGGAGAGTCATGCAGAGGGCGCCAAGACTTTATGCTGGGCTCTGTAAGGACACTCTAGATGTAGAAAAGGACAGCAACTCAATGTCAAAGATAACCTTATTTAAGGTTTAGCATTTCAAGATAAACAAAAAGACAGGCTTTCTTATTTAGAATGGCAATTCTAACAGCCAAAAGTCTGTCCAGCCACCATTGTTCTAGGGTTTATCCTCCCACCTTTTGAAGTGCTAGGTACAAAGTGCCTAAAAGGATACCTGGCTCACCTGGGCTGTGACTGGCATTCTGGGGAAGTGCATTCGTGATGTTGGGAAGCTCATGTCCATAGTTACCATCCTCCAGGGGACAGACATCCAAGTCACTCCACTTCTGCAGCTGCTGTAGCCAACAGGATTTTTCCTCCAGTTTGCAGTGTGGATTTAAAATTATGCACACCCATAAAGCCCCTGGAAAATAAAGCAACTTGCATTCTTGACATCTCAACTGTGATATATGTGTAAGCCTTAATGTTTCAATTTCATTTTTAGTTGGTAGAGAAAGTTTCCAAAGCATTAATGTTTCTCAGTAAATATATTTAAAAAACTGTTAAGATGTTCAGAACTGGGATATTTTTCCTTCCTAAAGCTTCCTTAGAGCCAAATGACTATCTTGATATCTGCATCTGTGTTATTGTGATGATACAGACAAATTTAGGCTTGAATTCTGAGCTCAAATCTACAGTCTAATAAGTATTTGTTGAAAGCCTTCTATGTTCAAGGCTCTGTACTGGTAAAATAGACACTGTATCTACCATGTAGGAGCTCTCTAATGGGGGAGACAGATAAATAAACATAATGCCATTTGAATATGACAAGTATTAAGATAAAATATGTTCAGGGTACAATTACAGCATAGAAGAAGGGCATTTAGTACAAAGAAAGGGTTGGAAGCAAGGCAGTCAGAAACGGTTTCATTTTTTGGCTATTTGGACTTCCTGAGCTTCAAATTCCTCAACTGTATAACTGAGATAATAAAAGCACCTAATTTGTAGGGAAATTATGATAATTAAAAGAGATAACATTTGCAAAGGGTCTAGCATATTACCTGGCACATAGTAGAATCTTAGTATTTCCTTTTTCTAAAAAAAAAAAAAAGGTTATTTGGACTTGGATTTTGAAATTGCTGATCAACTAACTCAAGATGCCTTAAAACCATTACTTTCCTGGGCAACAGAGTGAGACTCTGACTCAAAAAACAAAAACAAAAACAAAAAAGTGTGAACATAAAAATGTTTTTGTCTTGGGAAAAAAACCATTACTTTCTTGGGTTTTCTGTTACTGTAGCAAAGTATCACATATTCCACATAAGCAATGGGCACTGTTTCTTTGACCACATTTCACTTCTTTTCAAGGAAATCTGTGTCTTCTTTTCAAAGATGCTTATGTGGGTAAGCCAGATAATTTCTTAGTTTCAAGTTAGCAATAAGCCAGGCTGCAATGTGTATTAATGTAAACATCCTTTGGGATGGAGCTACATCCAGGAATGGAGGTACATTCAGATACTATTTCAACGCCTTTCCAAGTCAAATAGGAATGTTTCAGAAGGCCATCTTAGCTTCAATTTCAGATACTAACTAAAGATTAAAATTCATTTCCATTGGTTCAATTCAATTTTTAAAATGCAACATGAGGACAGGTACAGTGGCTCATGCCTGTAATTCCAGCATTTTGGGTGGCTGAGACAGGAGGCTCACTTGAATCCAGGTGTTTGAGATTAGCCTGGGCAACACAATGAGGCCTCATCTCTACAAAAATAAAATAAAAAAGTAGGTAGGCATGGTGGTGTGCACCTGTAGTCCCAGCTACTCAGGAGGGTGAGGAGGAAAGATCACCTGAGCCCAGAAGGTGGAGGCTGCAGTGAGCTGTGATTGTGCCACTGCACTGCAGCCTGAGTGACAGAGTGAGATCCTGACAAAAAAACCAAAAAAGTATATCATGAAAAAGAAACCAGGCCGGGAATGGTGGCTCACACCTATAATCCCAGCACTTTGGGAGACTGAGGTGAGAGGACTGCCTGAGCCCACAGGTTCGAGACCATCCTGGGCAACTTGGCAAGACCTCATCTCTACAATAAATCAAAAAATTAGCCAGGCATAGTGGCACATGCTTGTAATTCCAGCTTCTTGGAAAGCTGAAGTGGAAGGATTACCTGAGCCCAGCAGGTTGAGGTTGTAGTGGCCATGAGCGTGCCACTGCCCTCCAGCCTGGGCGACACAGTGAGATTCCAACTCAAAAAAAAAAAGAAAAAGAAACCACTATGTGATCATTACAATAATGACTCTTCAGGGGATTACAGTAACATTCATTTTATAGTTCAAAGTGCTTTTCATCTATAGTGAAGAAAAGGATTTTTGTGTTTAATCTTCATCCATAGAAAAGAGGATCAAAAAAAGGCTAACAAATTTGGCAACTAAAGGAACTCTGGTGACCTTAAGAATGACAAACATCAATAGACAGTAGAAGTGGAAAACAGATTGGGTGACATGAAAGGCTTAAGAGCCGGGCTCAGTGGCTCAGCCTGTAATCCCGCGCCTCTGGGAGGCTGAGGTGAGTGGATTGCCTGAGCCCGCGGGTTCGAGACCCGCCTGGGCAGCGAGACCTCATCTCTACAATAAATAAAAAAATCAGCCGGTCATGGTAGCGCATGCCTGTAATTCCGGCTACTTGTAAGGCTGAGGCGGAAGGATCGCTGGAGCCCAGCAGGTCGAGGCTGCGGTGGCCAGGAGCGGCCACTGCACTCCAGTCTGGGCGACAGAGTGAGACTCCAACTCAAAAAAAAAAAAAGAAAGGCTTAAGAGGTAAAGAAACAGGGTGCTAACTCTAGTCATGGAGGAGTTTGTATTTCCCAGGCATTTTGATATTAAGGAGGGGATCCCTCGAAAGTGAGTGCAAGTACTTTCACCTATAAGGTAAAAATGAGTTTTCTGTCTTATTAATTAGGTCCTGATGAATTTGTTTAAAAACCACTAAGATTGTCACTCCTCTAAAAAAGCAAAAAATCCTATTAGTTGCCTACATATAATAGTGCTGATAGGACTATGTTACCAGTATCCAAAAGCATATTTTCCTGCAACTTAAAAAAAGCTCCAAAAACCCTAAGAAAAGGTAGCTACTATGGAAGTTAATTTTTACATAATTATATATTAAATATAATAATAATAATAGCTATCATTTATTTCTTTTCATCAGCTAGGCATTATATTAAACGCTTTGCCTCATTTTGTCTTACAATTATGAGGGTCAACAGGTCTTGGCTTGGATAAAGAAGTTAGAAAATAAGGAACCAAAGATAACTCTTAATTTTTTCCTTAAGCAATGAGACCTTGATGCTGTAAGAAATAAATATACAATTTTTAAAAAACAAATTCCAGGTTTTTTTGGATCCCCCTCATACAATAGCCACTTCTCTATTTTTATCTTACTTGACCTCTTAGCAATTTTCAATTAAGTTGACCATACTTTTCTTGAAACATTCTTCTCTTGCTCTCCATAACTGCACTTCTGGTTTCCTTCCTGTGTTCTTGACTACTTTCACTCAGTCTCCTTTGCAAGTTCTTATGCCTTATCTCAATCCTTCTAAGTATTAAGTACCCTATAGCACCTACCTTCCTATCTAAATTCTCTACCTAAATGATTATATTCAGCCCACGACTTTAAATAGCATCCAGATAGAGGTGAGTCACAAATGTATGTCTCTAGTCCTCCTCTTTCCCTTGAACTTGAGGCTATGTCCAGCTGTCCACTACTTCCAAGAAACAGCTCATACTCACATGACCATCACAGAATTCTTAATTTTCCTGCCAAAGTCTGATTTTCCTCTTATTGTCCCCATCTCAATATATGAGGACCTAAAAAAACCAGAATTTATTTATTAAAAAGTGTGTATTTATTATTCTTACATGTTTAAATGTCAGTCAGTTACTTTCAAAGTACTCTCCATTTGATGTGATAAACCTATCTAAATGCTTTTTCTACTGGTCAAAACAGTTTTTTTTTTTTTTTTGAGTTGGAGTCTCACTCTGTTGTCCAGGCTGGAGCATAGTGGCATGCTCATGGCCACTGCAGTCTCAACCTGCTGGGCTCAGGTGATCCTTCCACCTCAGCCTTTCAAGTAGCTGGAACTACAGGCACACGCCACCATGCTCAGCTATTTTTGGATTTACTGTAGAGTTGAAGTCTCACCAAGTTGCCCAGGCTGGTCTTGAGCCAGTGGGTTCAGGCAATCCTCTCACCTCGGTCTCCCAAAGTGCTGGGATTATAGGCATGAGCCACTGTGCCGGGCAAAACAGTTTTTGAACTTGTCAGTTTTGATGACTTTTAAGTGCTTTATGCAGTTTGTTTCACCTCTTCCACATCGGCAAAACATTTCCCTATGAGGACATTTTTCATCCAGGGAAACAAAAAAAAGTTGTTTGGGGTGAGATGGAGTGAATAGGGAGGATGGGGCATGGGGTCATTCTTTTGGTCAAAAACTGCTGAACACTCAGCACAGTATGGGGCAGGTGTGCTTGTAAATCACCCATCATGAAATGGGCAAATGTGTTGAAAGAATCTCTCAAAAAAAGTTCACTAACACCTAACGCAGCATCTCACAACAGTGAGATGGTACACACTGATGCCCATGGTTTCCTAGAACACTCACCTAGCAGGGGAAGCCTGTACTATAAGGAGTCCACCCTCTAATTTCCTTTTTTGGGTGGTCCCCCTCTTATCTAGCAATATGGAAGTCACTGGTGATTTTTTTTTTTTTTTTTTT